CTTTGGTTTAGAGGTCACTACGTAAATGAACAAGTTGGATCCTATCAAAAATAAGAGGTTCCCAAGGTGAGAAGCTAGTGAACAAGGAAAATGCCCATTCCCAGAAGTCTTTGCAGCTTCTCATTTGTGTTTGTTGCAGCTTCTGTAGTAAATCTTCCTTCTGTGTACCTCTAGCATTCCTATTCTTCACTTTGTAAGACTAATGGTTTGCACCTCCCTTCTTATGTACAGGTTCACAGTCCTTGAGCAGAGGACAGAAAGCAAGTTTTGTGATGAACCATTCTGCAGAATACATGGGTGTTACTTCTGTAGTGGCTTTAACTATTTGACCTAATTTAGACAAAATCTTGCTTTCTCTCATCAGCCAGTAATGTGAAATATATAGTGCATGTGTTCGTGTTCTGATGATGCAGTTCCTGTACGGTATAAGAACAGATCCTCTTTCTAAGAATTCTGCTTTTATGAGAACATGGTTTATATTACTCATTAATAAAACGAAGTCTCCTCATATACAGAAGAGGTAGCAGACAGTATGACCAGAAAGTTTGTTTTGTGGTTGTAAAATCCCAGTCTTTTGGGTTTCTAATCAAGCTTTTTGTGACACCATTTTTTAACTTCCAGCTAATAGTTCATATAAAGATGCAGTTTAATTTTTTGGTCTTATAACAGTCAAAAAAATTCCAAATAGGACCTTTACTGTAGTAATTGGCATGTGAGGCTTAATTTTTGAAATCTCTGCGGTTCACATATCATTACAGCTGGAAATGCAGGTTCCTGAGGGCTTGATATGAGCTTGAGCATCATAAACATAAGATGTAGTATTATTTTAATTCTGCCATTTCTGTAACTTTGTATATGTCCTCTTTTGTATGAAAATGAAAAGATTAAAATACTTATGAAGACTTGAAGGTTAATGGTGCTTTCAGCGCTTGTCTCTTGTGTGACACTACTACTGTCATGAAAGTTTTCAGCACATATCTATTCCAGAGCTATGGTTGGAACAGACACAGTGTTAAATTTAAAAGAATTGGTTTGTTTACTTATATAGAGAAACTCAAATATTTCTCTGTAGGTGTTAATTTAAGCATCCATAGTTGAAATCCTGTGCATGCTTGTACATACACATTAGATATCAGAGTTACATACGTGGCAGTCCAGCACTCTGACCAGGTTCTTTCAGATATTGCAGACAAGGAGGTTTTAATGTTTTGATACCAGCTGAAGACAATTGACATTACATGGGATTCTGATTTAGGAGAGCAATCTACTGGAATCACAACACAAGTGTAATACAGCAATTACACTGACAGTGGCTATCACAGTGGCCCTTTGATAGTGTGAGCCACCCCTCTGCCTTTTGTCCTGAGCCCTGTAAAAACTCACATGGTGGGCCCGTGGCTGACGGAACTTCTCTGTGCTGTAGCAACCAGGAGACTTGGTGGCTGCCTGTCCTGACCGACAGGCTTGGTTCTGTCCACCATGTCTGAAGTGGCAGATTTCAGCATGGTGATTTGCAATTCTTGAGTATTCCTCCACCACCATCTCCCTTGCCCACCCCCCATCCCTCCCTGATGGCTGGCAGGGAGCTGCCTGGCGCAGCAGACAGCACAGCCCCACAGAAAGTCTGCCTGTTGCAGTGCAGGGTATGTAGGAGAATCTCCAGTCCTTAGTACTGAACCTGGAGCGTCCTCTATGGTGAGGATAACCTGGTTTGCTCCTTTTCCCCATAAACATGTTGGTCATCCATTCTAGGGGTGTGTCTCCTGGTTTAGCTGAAAATTTAGTTTGGAAATCAGTTAACTAACTCTTAAGATAAAACATCTCACAAGAGAATGCATCCGCTTGACTTTTGTCACGGGAGCAACCACTTTAAAGTTACGTTCTTTTCCTGGATCATATGAATAGTCATCATGAGTGTTGTGGTTTAACCCTGGCTGGCAGCTGAGTACCACACAGCCACTTGCTCACTCCACCACAGGAGGGATGGGAGGAGAATCAGAAGAGTAAAAGTGAAAAAAAAAAATCTCATGGATTGAGATAACAGTTCAATAATTAAAAAGAGATTAAATTAATGAGAAGAAAAATGTAAAGAAACTAGAAATGAATAACACAGGGGAAAATAAAACCTAAGACAGACAAGTGATGCAAATGAAAACAATTGCTTATCACCAACTGACCAATGTCAGCCAGTCCCCAAGCAGCAGCACACTACACCACACACACAGCACCTCATTTTGTTGCTGAGCATGGCATCAGGTGGTATGGAAGAATATCCCTTTGGTCAGCTGTCTCAGCTGTGCCCTGTCCCAGCTTTTTGTGCACCTCCAGTTGACTTGCCGAAGAGGCCCTGATGCTGTGTAAGCACTGCTCAGCAGTGACTAAACATCAGTGTGTTTTCAACACTGCTTTCAGGACAAATCCAAAACATAGACCCATACAAGCAACCATGAATAAATTTAACACCATTCCAGCCAAAAACAGTACAACAAGGAAGACTGGGAGAACCAGGATCAAGATAGACATATCCTGGCCATTTATCATCCTCAGCATACATAGCAACCATCACTTTAACAGGGTCTATTTGCATTGACCTTAGTAAATGATCCCTACACCTGGACGGTGGCTACGATCCGAGGCTGCAGTTTTCACTGTAAGAACTTTGATTTTTCTGGCTGTGCACATCACCTTTTATACATCATGTTATCTTTTGTAACTTTTTTCTATCATATTTTTCTTGCATATCTCCTCTGCTGACTTCACTACTGTTCACAGGTAGCTTTCTAATCAAACAGAACAAGCCTGCTTTCCCTTTTCCCCTCTCCAACTTATTAGAAACTTTCTATTTTTCATATTCATCCCAAAATATCACTGGGATCAGTGCAATGTTTTTCTATCCATAAGAAATTTGACTTAGTCTCTGTTTCTTTTTTTCCAATTTATCAGCTAGCTTTTGTTAGCACTCACAAGGTTTTACACCCTCTAAACACTGCAGTCTGTTCAGTACCATTCCTTACTCACAGTGCGAGTCACCTCTTTTAGGCTCTTATTCATGACTCAAGTGCTAAATCATAATTCCCAGTATTACTGAACTGTTGGTACGTAATGTTCACCCTATTGTGTCACAGACTATCATGACTATCAGGAGTCTACCGCTCTCTGGCCACTTTTTTGAGGGTTTTTAAAAGTTGTTTGACATTGCAGTGGTTTTTGGTTTAGCAGAATGTTACAATCATAAAATCACCAGTTCTTAGCAGAATGTAGTAATTGCAATATACAATTGCATCTCAGTACAAATGTGATTCTGTTTACTGGTCTCTATAACATGCTCACTGTCACAGCACTGGGCATCCCCAGTTTCCTGGAAGGAATACATGAGTTGAGGCCAGCTCAAGCCTGTTGGTCTTCTCAAAGCTCTCTTCTTTATTCGATTTTTATGTGCTCTGTTAGGCTGAGATGTGTATATACTTCCCCAGTGCTGGTCTGGCTAACTCAGGAATATGTGTATTTGCACCCTTTTGATTTACTCAGGGATGAAAGGTTACACACACAGTTGAACTGTTGTAGCTGATTGATCGTTTCAGCTGCCATTTGCCTAGAACAAAGACGGCACAGGACGCTGATTTGTTAAGTTCAGCATTCTTACTAATATTTGTGATCAGTCACTACTTACGTCCATCCCTGAATTTCTGTATTGGGTTGTATGGTAAGGGTTTTGGTAGCAGGAGGGGCTACAGGGGTGGCTCCTGTGAGAAGCTGCTAGAAGCTTCCCCCATGTCTGATAGAGCCAATGCCAGCCAGAGCCAAGTCAGACTCACCACTGGCCAAGGATGAGCCCGTTGGTGACAAAGGTAGTGCCTTTGGGATAACATTTAAGAATGGGAAAAAGTTGCTCCAACAACAATTGCAGCCAGAAGAGGGGAGTAAGAAAATCTGAGAGAAACAACTCTGCAGACACCAGGGTCACTGAAAGAGTGGGAGGAGGTGCTGCAGGCACCAGAGTGGAGACCCCTGCAGCCTGTGGTGAGGACCACGGTGAGGCAGGCTGTGCCCTGCAGCCCATGGAGGTCCATGGTGGAGCAGATCCCCACCTGCAGCCCAGGGAGGACCCCACGCCAGAGCAGGTGGATGCCCAAAGGAGGCTGAGACCCCGTGGGAATGCCGGGCTGGAGCAGGCTCCTGTCAGGACCTGTGGACCCGTGGAGAGAGAGGACCCACACTGGAACAGGTCTCCTGGCAGAACCTGAAGCCTTGTTGCAGATCCATGCTGGAGCAGTCCATTCCTGAAAGACTGCACCCTGTGGAAGGGACACACACGTGGAGCAGTTCATGAAGGACTGCGGTCCATTGGAAGGACTCATGTTTGGGAAGTTTGTAGAGGACTGTCTCCCGTAGGAGGGACCACACGTGGCAGCACATGAATAGTATGAGGAGTCCTCCCCCTGAGGAGGAAGAAGTGACAGAGACAACATGTGATGAAATGACTGCAACAACCATGTCCTGTCCCTCTGTGCTATTGGAGGGGAGGAGGTAGAGAAATCAGGAGTGAAATTGAGCTGAGAAGAAGGGAAGGGTGTGGAAAGGTGTTTTAACATGTGTCTTTATCTTCCCATTACCCTAATCTGAATTAAATTAATTTTCTCCAACTGAGGTGTTTTGCCCATAAAGGTAATTGCTGAGTGATCTCTCCCTGTCCTTCCTTGTCTCAACCCACAAACCTGCTATTACATTTTCTCTTCCCATCCAGCTGAGGAGGGAGAGTGGTAGAGCAGCTTTGGTGGGCACCTGGCATCCATCTGGGGTCAACTGCAGCTTCATGATCACATAGCCTGTGTCTGTCTCTGCAGAGTCTTCTCCCATTGTAGCAGTTCATTGATCAGTCATGAAGTGTTTGGATTCTTTATGTTTTGACATTCAGAAGGAAGACGTCTGTGTAAGGTGGCTTTTTTGGCATTGTATACACACTTTATTTTTCAATAATTCCAACATCATTTATATTGTAGGTCATGCAGGAGTGTCTGCCAGCATGATGAAGAAAAGAACTTCCCACAAGTAAGTTGTTAGTATTTTTATTAAAGTATAGCTCTCAGTGCCTGGAAATACTGTTCTAGAAATATATCTGTATTGTTCTACTCACTTTGTTCTTGAAAGTCACGTGGAATAATACTCAATCTGTACACATATGTAGTCAGACTTTCAGTTCTTTCAGAAGGGTAGTAGGAAAGAATGCCCCACAAAGTTTCAAACATTGTTTTGAGTGTTAATATGAAATTATACTTGAATGCAATTTTGTAATTCTTTCTGGAATTCAAAGAGAAGGAGTTCCAAGCCAGAAATTAGCCACATGTACTGTAGGATCTCTGTTTTCTGTCGCATATTTCATGCGTTGTCACCAGACCAATAAAAACTGCAAAGTATGCTTACTGATAACCTAGTCTGGACGTAATCTTGGAAGTAGCTAATCTTGTATTCACTACAGCTGTAGTTTTGAAAAGGATTTTTCACATTTCTGAAATAAAGAATATACTGAAATACTTCTGTAAGAAGGCTGCTATTTGTGTGTGAAGGATACCTGCTTATCCTACACATTCATGGCACATACTTTTCCCTCTACAACATTCTTAAATATTATCAGATGAACATTGGTGAGTTGCTGTGTGAAAACAGAGGTAATATTCTGGGCATAATTGGTCTTACTGTCAAACAGCAAGATATCATATCTGATTACATCTCTGGTGGGAGAGGTCTAAGCTGGGTAAGTGTGAAAGTTACTGAAATGTTGCTAGTTGTATTCTAAGTATAAAGTCCTATAGTGGTGCATCAATTGAAAGTGATTTGTTCAGGAGGTGTATTTTCCATGATTAACATAGTTAATCACTGCTAACAGTGTTAACTGTTTCCCAGAGACAACACCTGATGTAAAACTACTCTAGCCCCTTCCACCAGCTCATCATTATCCATTCTTGTCTATCTTCACAGAAGGCAAAGAGAAACATTTATTTGTCTAGGGGCAGGTAGAGTTGGTTAAAACTTAATTTTTCTTGTTCTCTTTCAACCGCTCAGAGAAAGGAGTGTATGATGGGAAGACTATCAGAGGTGGGTTGCCTTTTGTACTTGAGGGTGGCTAGATTTGTCTTTGTTGTTGTGTTGATATACACTTATTTAAATACCTAAATAGGCTGTAAATTTGTTAGCATAAAGGCTTTTATGGGGCATAAAAATTTTGATCCTAAGTGACATGATTTTGAGGCGTTTAACTTAAGCATCCAGCTTAGTTTTATGTTATTGTAGCCTAGTTAAATTGTTTATTAATTATTTAGTAAAGGTTTTTTATACCAAATCAAGATGATTTCTTGCGTGCTGCTCACTGACTTGTCTGAGAATGAGGCAGAGAAGTAGAGAATTGTTCATATTTGTAGTTTACCATAAATGAGTAGGATATGAACGGTTATATAATAATATATGATGATGCTACTCTGAGCCATTACGGTAGATAATGAGCTAGTAATGCATATGTTGTCACTGATTTAGTTATTTATTTAGTTATTCATCATTTAGAGAAAAAGAGGAACAACCCTACTGGCACTTGAAGGCCATCGAGGAGATTTCAAACTAGCTTCAGAAGGTTTGTGACAGGGGAAGGAGCCAAGAGGATGGAACAGGGCATGAGTCAGTAATTGAGGATGTGATAGAATGAGCAATGTGGATAGGTCTTCTTTACCGAATGGTAGTTAACTGTTGAGCCTTTTGGAAATGGTTTCTGTGGTTATAGGGCAGTTCTTCCAAGTGCTCTGTCAATGGGTGGTGGTCATCTCTGCCAATATGATGGCTGACCTCACTGTCATCGGATCAGTTATTAATTTCCCAGATCTCATTCTTTCTACCCTTGGTGCATAAGGAAGAGTGCAGGAAATAGTATGAAACAATCCTTTCTTCATAGACTCTTCAGATTTCTTGTAGTAACAATTGAGGGACTTTGAGGCACAGGTTATACCTGCAATTTAACTACAAGTGCACTTAAATATTTTAAAATTCTGATCCCACTTAAAGCTAACTTGTAATCTTGGTTCCTGCAGCATCTGAAGATGAAATTCAGAACTGAAAGATGGCTTTTGAGGGAATACAGAAAGTACTTTAAAACTTTTGCCTCAACTAATGTGCCTCATAGTCTGAATACTGTGAAAATTAGTTAATAACAATTATCACCATACTGCTATTATTGATAATCTGTAATAAGATCACAATTGTAATCATTTTTTGATCCTATTTTTAATAGCTTTTCTGCTCAGCACCATGAAAGACTTGAAATTGTACTGACCATTGATGCTCTACTGCATTTATACTGTTTTGTAGTTTTCCTTCCCGTTTTTCACAGTTTGCCTTTTTTGCCCATTTGAGGGATACAGTTTTCTTTCACCCTTCTGTTTTTATCCTTAGTTCTACTCCATGATGTTTTTCTGAGATGAGATGATCAGGAATAAAAAACAACAACCAAACCTAAATGGATAACTTTACTTGATAGGTTATTGGGAATTGCCATTCTCCTTTTTATAAAAGGTTTATATGCTGGTTTGTCTTTCAAGCACAACCCTGATGCAATGGTTGAATTTTTTTCTGTTACCAGTCATGTGCAGTTCTGCAGTACATTGGTTTCCCTGGTAGCAGCTGCCACATAAAAGTTTGTTTGAGGGCTGTATAAATACAGCTTTAAAATCTGGGAATATTTATTTCTGCCTGTGTAGTCTTTAGAAAGTTTCTAAAGTCAGGTTCTGATAATTAAACCTTTTCACATAACTAGGTTTTACTTACCAGCTTACTGCCTTCAAGATAAGGAAGAGGATCTGAAATTTTGGGGGATTAAAGGGCCATTTACAGTGAAGATGTGTCTGGTGTGTCAAGAGCTATTTCCAGGACTTGCTGTTTTCTGTTTTTTCTGACTCCATGTTTTGAATGTCTAGGAGAATTGTTGTGGAATTTTAAACATAATTGTAATGAAACAGAAGGGAAAAATTGTGTTGGACCTTCTGGATATAGCATCGTAGAAGGCTATGTACATTTGTATTACTTGGTATATCACAGAAATAACCCACTGTTGAGGAGAGGAGAAATTTCAGTTGGTTACTTGGTTGTCTTACTTGGAGGTATATTCATAGCGATTATTTATTGATGGTTAGAAACCCATGCTTGGTTTTTTACCACATGTTCAGATGTAAGAAGTAGGTTTTCCTTGGTAATTTACTAGTTTGAAAATCACATTTCTTACAGTATGAATCACTGCAAATGAGAGTGAATGGCTGTTCAGCAGTATAACCTTCAAACAAAATCTTGAACTGCAAGTACACCTGGCAAGTACTTGGCTTGTAATTAAATTTGTAATACTTTTTGCTCTCTGAGGCATTTTAAAGGTATTTACTAGTTTGAACTCAGTTAGGTAGGCTTTTTCCATCATATTTTTTAAAATGAGTGCAGAGCTTTTCACTTAATTGTTCCAATTTAAACATTGGAGTGGTTTATGCTTTATAGGCATAAGGTAAAATTGACTGTGAGGTTGTACGTGACTAGTGTTATTTTTACATTTTTCAATGATGAGATGATTAGCACCATAGACAAACAGCTTAAAAATAACATTGGTTTATCTATTTTATTTTTTTTTTGTCTTCAGTTGGTTCTATTCTTATTTAGAATGGAACTATGATTCATTAGAACTAAATATATTAATTCCATGCCAAACAAACTCATTTTTATTGTGCCAAGAACCAGATCTCTGATCTCATTTTGTAACAGTAAACTAGTACTGAGGCTGTCATGATTAAAATGTGTATATATATACTTGAGCAAGAACTAGAATTTGTGTTCTAGTTTCTGCATAAAATTAGAAACAGCTTTGTGGGAGAGTGTTTCTTAACTGGAAGAATTTGGAGTTCCTGTTATAACCTGTGCTATCTAAGTTAGGAATACAAAAACTGCAGTTTGATCTTGCTGAAGAGCTCCACTGATAACAAAAGTGAATTTTGGCAAAACCCCCTGCTGAGATCTTCTTGGTGAATTAAGAGTCTGGAGGTGGGACAAGCTGCTGAAGGAATTGTACATCTTGTTTTTCATAGTTGTGATTATATCTTCAGCACTAAGCATTCCAATGTCATGTAGTGAGCACATTATTCTGAAAGACTGCTTACAGGATTTCAATGGTATGATTGTTATTTGTCTTTTTTTGGATCATACAGGGACTTCTCTGAGAGCATTCATCGTTCCTGGAGACATTTCTCTTTAATCACTATCTCTAATCTAAGGAAGAGTATTGTTTTCTGCAACTGATACTCTCTTTTAGGTGTTGCTTTTAAGCATGGTAGTGGTGTTCATATTTTACTGCCACTTAAATTAAGCATGCTACAAGTAGTAACCCAAAACTTTAGTTTACAATTAGTTGACATTCATGAGAATTTTGATCAGTCAAACCTCTAAATGGTCTTTTTAGGAATTAATATGTGCATTGTAACATGCTAAAATAGGCACAATATTAATTTCTTATCACCAGTATAATGCCATAGTATTCCTTAGTTTCTTCCATTTGTATTCAATGTTGTCAATTCATGGTTTTAATAACTGAGTAGAACAAAACTTGCAGAACACTTTCAGTGATTTAAAACTGTCAGATAGCTTACATGGCTGTTGATCAGAACAACTGTTATTCACCAGAGGGAATTTCCTTGCATATTCCATGAAAATATAGGAAGGACAAAAAAGTATATTTAATCTGTTTTCTGCCTTAGAGAGTATCCCTTCTATTGCCATTACCATTGCATACCATTTTTCTTTCGCTGTACTAAAAAGGGATGCTAGAGAAGTGTTGTCGCTACAATGTGTCTTCAAAAATCCTTGAAGTCAAAAATATCTGTAAATGGAAAAGGAAGCTAAATTTCCTTCAGGTGAAAACACAAGTTAGGGAAAATAAATACCTTGGAAGAAATTTAGTCAGCTGCTGGTAGTGTTTCCACTGACTACTTTCTTCTGGGACAGGAGTTGTGTTTACTGTTCTGCAGAGAGCAACAAGGTAGTAAAGTTATAATAGTGCCAGGCAACCATGTGCTTCAAGACCTGATCAGGTGAGTTTTACTTTTAACATTCAGTGTAGCAAGGGCTAAAATGGTTCTTTTGGCTTAAGAAAACCAGTTTTAGAAATGCCTGTTAGGAAACTGGTCTTACAAAGAACATCAAAAATGTTTCACTACTTTTCGGTGTGTTTTTCTTTTTTTTTGCCAATACAGTGTAATATGCTTTATACCCTAATTTGAATAAGGTGCACTAAGCTATGAAATATACTGCCATCTTAAAAAGCGTACAGCTCTTGTCTGATGTAGAATTTTGAATATGTATGTACTTGTTTAATATTATGTTTGTATCTGTGTACAGAAAGCATAGAAACAATGTGGGACCAAGCAAACCTATTTCTCAGCCACGAAGAAATATTGTAGGCTGCAGAATACAGCATGGATGGAAAGAAGGGAGTGGACCTGTAACACAGTGGAAGGGCACAGTTCTTGATCAAGTTCCTGTAAATCCCTCTCTCTATCTTATAAAGTATGATGGATTTGACTGTGTGTATGGACTAGAACTGCACAAAGATGAAAGAGTTTCAGCTCTTGAAGTTCTTCCAGACAGAGTTGGTAGGTGTTTTGGTTTTTCTCCTAGATTCACATATATATAAGCTGACATTTACTTTTAAATGTTCTCCAGTAATCTCTCCAGACTTCCCCCAAGATAGCATCTGACCACTTAGGTGTTACTAGTCAATTTTGGTTTTGTCACATGGCAGGTAATCTAAATGCTCTGTTTAAATTTTCTTGATTCCATGAAGATTTGATGATACCAGTCAGTGCAGTGCTGTCTTCTGTCTTTAAGTGGTATGCAATACATTCTGTGTTTTTTGTTTAGAGTCTTGTGCCTAAGAACATATGGAAAGTTAACAATGATATTTCTGCTAAACTTAAACTCAGAGCAATATTGGATGTGTTGTCTGTTGTGTGTGTCTGACAGAAATAATGTTACTTTTCTCCTCATGTACTTCCCCTAAGTACTGTTAGTAATGGGGGGAAAAGGCATTTTCTAAGTGAAATAACTTGATTAGTAACTAGGCTTTTTGATTTTCAGAATTAGACCTGGCTTGTTAAACTGTAGGGTTTTCAAACTGCAAAGTTTGACATTTACTCGAGTGATTACTAGTTTATAAACAGTTTAAGCTGTTTCTTCTTCTGACTGCAAAACAAGCAATAGCAGTCTCTAGAGTAGTGCTGGGGGGAACTAAATCCAAAAGTTTCATTAATAACTTCATAGACTTAATCTGTGATTGGCTTCTCTTCCTCTTCTCTCCTGCCTGCCTCTCCCTGTCCGGTATATAGTTAAAATACAAAGAGTCTTCACTTCTGTGGCCTCAGTGTATCTCCCTCTACCTTGCATAATGACTGCTGGATCATAGGGAGCACGATGATGTATTGTTACTTTAACAACATTGTGAAGTTCTGCAGTTCTTCAGTATAAACTCTTTGGAATGGACAGCGTTTGTTTTGTATATTAATTGACTAACTTCAGTGAAATTTGTTTATGAATAAGAGTAAAGATTATTCTTCACGAAGACATATCTGTGCTATTGAACTAATTTATGAAATGCTGTCATTTCAGCTTCATCTCGAATTAGTGATGCCCACCTGGCAGACACAATGATTGGTAAAGCTGTGGAACATATGTTTGAGACAGAGGATGGCTCAAAAGATGAGTGGAGGGGGATGGTTTTGGCTCGAGCTCCTATTATGAACACATGGTTTTATATTACGTACGAGAAAGATCCCGTCTTGTACATGTACCAACTCTTAGATGATTATAAAGAAGGTGACCTTCGCATTATGCCTGATTCAAGTAAGTAGGACAGTCACTGTTTTCTTCTGGAAAGTGGCAGCTTTTTATATTAACATTTGACTTTGTTTTATTTATGGACAGGAGAGCTGACAAGCAAAGATCTTGTTTGTTACTGCATTTAATTTTCTTCTTTTTTTTTAAGTATCACTACTATAAAAGGTTATAGCACAACAAAGAACATCTGTGCTAACTGCTGAAATATTTTATCAGCAGTGACACACACAGGGAAAGCATTTTCTATAATTACTCCTAATTCTGCTGAAAATATGTACATACTCCTGTGGAAGAAAGTATGCCTGGATTTTTTAATGAGAGCTGACAAACCAGAAGTTACCCACTGTTGTTTTCTTATAGAAGTATCACAACTCATTAAGATGGCTCATGATTCATGTTTCTGAAACAATTCTTGTGGGAATAATCTTTTGGGACCAACTAATATAGTCAGATTAATTCCATTGGGGTAGGTGTTTTCAGTGTGAAAACTTTTGAGTAACTTCTTGAGGGAAAGAAATACTAATATTTTGAAAACTTGTTTTCTCTCATATATTGCAACACACTAATAAGAAAACTATTTCAGCAGATAAGGAAGGAATATTTTTTTCCTCTCTTCTTGAAGTGAAAGTCATCAGGAATTTTTGTGTTAGTTTAGAAGGATTTTCAGAGAATAAATGTTGTTCAGGAGATTTGGATAGCCAGTACAAAAAAGAGGAAAAAAAGCTTGTAAGGAATACTTTGGTTTTACTTCTCCCATGTACCTAAAACACTTCTGACAGAGGCAGCCTGGGCTTCAAAGAAGATTAATAATTGGATAATTGTACTGGTTGGCTAACTGAAGTGTAGTTACGTGTTATAATTAATTTGTTTAGTTTGACACTGTCTTCCTTCAGATATAGCACTGATAACAGTCTTCTGGCTAAATAAACAAGTGGCACTTATTTGCATAATGTCTGTAATAATCATCTGTGCTTAGATATTTTTCCCACCACACTCACAAAAAGCAACCGATCTGCTGCTTTTAAAGAGTGAGCCACCAAATGTTAATTGAAAAAAGTGACTTTCCTCTTCCTAAAGAAATAAAGCAAGCTCTTTCAAATTTGAACTTTCAGATAATTTGTTCTTGGTCTTTCTTAACTATTAAAAAGGTGTTGGAATGTATTTTAAGTGTTCTCTGCTTTCTTCTACCTTTGGGGGTGGGGGTAGGGAAGGAGCTTGTGCTTTCTTTCCATTTAAGAGCTAACTGTCTTTAGTGCACTTTTCCCTCTGTGCTCACCACCAGACTATGTACTGCTTACCTGTTTCCAAAACACTTCCAAGTATTTGCTACCTCCTCTGAATCTGCATGCTTTCCAGATCTTTTGAATTGTATCCTTAAGTCAACGATTGATGTTAAGAGTAGTATTTTTGAAATCAGATTTTAGAATACCTGAAGTATGTCTGTAAATCTGGGGGAACTTGCTGTAGTATCTCTCTTCTCAAAGACAGGCTTTGCATACATGAGGAGACCTAAATTTATAGATGATTTATTTTAAACTATTCTTTGGTCAGGGGAAAATGTATTGTTGGATCTGATACTAAAACTTTGTCAACACTTCATAATTCCTTGCAAATGAAAATGTAAGAGTTTAACTTGCATCTTTGCCAAGGAAGACTCTTCATATAAAACTGATATTACGAGGATAATAATGTATGACAGTGCATTTATAGAGGAACTGTAACAAAAATTGAAAGAGAAACTTCTTAAGTTTATGGAAGAGTCTTAAGTGTAAGTACAAGCCAAACTGTTCATTCCCTGTTGGGTTTTTTTTTTGATCGTTTGGGAGTTCTTTCACAACTCTCAGAACTGGAAAGAAAATGAGTGAAATCTGTGCGGGATTCTTAATGCAAACTTGGAACAAAGATGTTAATTTAAAAGCTTAGGATTTCAAGAATAAAGGCCACATTGGGTATAACCATCATTAAGAAAATTCCTCACTAGAATACAAAACACAAGTTTAGATAATCTAGTCAAAAGGAAGACCAGCTGAGAGAGGAGGTATGGTTAGCTTCTGGTTCTCCAGTACAGTGGTTTTACCTTTTATCACATTTGTTCTGTGATTGGCTTGTAACCAACCCGTTGGCAACTGCCATGTTACGTATCACAACTTTTTGTATCCAAAGTTAGCATAGGCATCATCTAAAATATAAGAATATTTCTGGCTAGGTATTGCTAGACAAGAAAATAATATGGTTAGACTTTACCAACGGCGGTATTCCAGTATGGAGCCAAAAGCCCTTTTCAGTATGGAGTTTATACTTACTAACATTTTAGAAGAGATGTCTTTGTTGCAGTGGTATGCATGTGCTGAAACTTCGAGTAATGTGTATGGGAAGAGGGAGGTTTAGTTTGGCTGCCTTTCTGCTAAGGAGATGCAGTTCCTTTTTCTGATGGTGGCTTAAATTCAATTATCCACAGACATCTTCTGTAACTTGTGTGTAAACCTTCATGTCAAAAGATTGACTTCTCTTATGAATCAGAACGCTATTTTTGTCTTAATAAAGCTGAAAGACAGTATTATTTGAAAATTTTTCTGCAACTGTACTTTCTATAAGCATGGTGCTTGTCTGAACAAAATGAATTTTCTACATATGCTGTATTTAAAACTTCTGATTGTTTCATATGAGTTTTAAAGAAAGACTCAGCAGTTGTCTTCTATACTGAAAAATTCCATTAATGTCTACCAAAGTACACTGGTTTTGTGTTACAGATGATTCGCCTCCTGCGGAACGGGAACCAGGGGAAGTTGTGGACAGCCTGGTAGGCAAACAAGTGGAATATGCCAAAGAAGATGGCTCAAAAAGGACTGGCATGGTCATTCATCAAGTTGAAGCCAAACCATCTGTCTATTTCATCAAGTTTGATGATGATTTCCATATTTATGTCTACGATTTGGTGAAGACATCCTAGACGTCATTGTGAACTTTTGCCAAATTTGTGGAACTATTAAATGTAAAATTTGTAGACACAAAGACTTGACTGCTTTCCAGTTTAATGAAAGCTTAAATGTCCCTGCGAACCCACAATCTCTGCCAGCAAAACTGTTTTGTTCTGAATAATACAAACAAACGTGACACATTTTGTTTAAGAGAGCTCCTTTTCTCGAAGGAAGTCAATATATTTGGGCAGGAGGGAGTTAAAAGCAAAGAACAGCTGCAAATTCAAGCTGTGTAAAGTTGATCTAGTATTGTAATCATTAATCTAAATTTTTTCATAGATTTTAACTTTTTCTTCAACCTTGCACTCACTTGTTCAACTGCCACATGCAAGTGTAGTTTGATATTTTGATATGCCTTCTTTTGTAACATTAAATTTAATTTCTTCGCTACTGGCAGTCCTTGTTTTCAGGGTTGGGACAGAGGTGACTTTTCTGATAGGTTTAAACAGTTTGAGCAGCATTAAGGAGTGCCTAACCCAAGTAACATCAATCTGCTGTGTTTCTACACTTTATTTCAAATTTAGCTTTTTAAGAACTTGCAGTACATGGAAATACTTGTGCATTTTTACTAGTCACAGGGCAGTAGGATATCATGTGTTTGACTTATGCACCTTTCAATGAAAAGGCTTTAAACTATAAAAATATATTTAATCTGTATAACCACTTAATTAGAAAATGCAGGTTAATGGCCCATATTTACAAGTTGTAGGAACCAGTAAAATCCACGCAACAAGGCTGCCTTCAATCCTAAATGTTGTACTTCTTTCTTTGTTATACACACTTCTTGGCGAAACCCAAGTGCTTGGTGCCACAACTTTAACAGTATATATGCTACTTCAGAAGACTTTAGACTACGCATTGGCAATCAGTAGTCTCATTTAATATCAGAACCTAGCAACCTGAATGTTTTCGTGTGGACTTAGAAGCCTAACAGTAGTTAATATTTTACATGGTAAATACAATCTCGTGCCGGGGGAGGGGGGGGGGGGGTGAGGAGGGGGGTGGGGGGGAGGGGGTTTGTCCTTTCACATTGAAGACTTACTTTAGAGAAGGAGAAGCATTTGTTGCTTTCTGCTCAGTCTGTTGCATTCATTTGTTTGTTTGTTTTGGTTCAGTTTTAATCATTTTGGTTCAAGAAGGCATCTTCCCAATTTATTCATTCTCTGGCTTTTCCACATAAGGAGTGTCCGGACAAATCTACAGCTTAAACCTGTTGTTGCCTTTTGTGGTGTACATTGTACTTGCTTTGAGGTATGCTGTTAACGTGAATTTCATTCTATGAACACTAGAGTTCTGCATGCCAGTGGTGTACTATCTAATGGAAGCTATAGGCAGTCTCAGTGGTTCAGTCATCTGCATTAGATTGTGGATGTAAATAGCAGCCCACAACAGCAAAATCCTTTCACAGTTTTAATCTTGCAAGATAGGTGTAAATTAAAATTAGGGTTTTTTAAGTGTGGCAGTTCTTAAAAGTATCAGAATTGCAACAATGATCAGCACAGAAACAAAATCACCATGTTACATTAAAGCAGAGCTCTGCAAGTTTCAAAGAACTACTTCACATGAATACTGTATGTGAAGAGTCAACACTGTTGATGGAAGGAACAAATACTCTGATATCCAACCGTATGCCGTCAGTGGAAGGATGCAGGAGAGGTGCTGTTAATCAGAGATCAGAGGTCCGGGTGACCTCTATTGTGGGTATTCTTGATACTGAAGACTCAGTGGTTTAAGCCCCTTTCTGTCCATTTTTTTTGCCTGGTTTCATACTTTAGCCTTAAGGCTTGTGCCTCATTATGCTGTTGAATGGTAATAAATACTCTCCATATAAATATGATACGTTAATTCTTTGTCCATTGCTACTATATTGCATTATGTCCAGTATTTCATCATGGGCAACCAAAGGCAGGCTATTGTCTTTCAGTGAATAGCTTCTCAATGCAGTCCTTAAGCACTAAGTACCTGAGTCGTAAATGTTCCTTGTGTTTTGAACAAAGTGAGCAGATTTGCAACACAGTGTTTTCATCCTGCAGATCTGTTATGTGTTTTCTATTGACTCTTAAGAGTCCTGCATGTAAATCTCAAAGCTGAGCCTGGCTCCATGAGCCCAAGTTGATATTTGTGGCACAAGAATGAGTGAGTGTATTGATTATACACAAGATACATGAATAACCTAGTACACTGAACTTTGGGCTATATATCTGAGGAATACAAGGTTTGTTTTGAAATACGAGGTTTAGGTCTACTGGAACATTTTTAGCATTAGGCTTGCATTTATGGGTTTTCTGCAAGCCTCTTGAATATACCACGTATTCTGCCAATTAGAGTATAATCTATAAATTTTATGGTTGTTTTTAGATGTCCCCGTTGTCTGTTGCGTGGGTATTTCTTTTCCTCTTTTTTCCTCTTTTTTTTTTTTTTTTTTTTTTTTTTGATCGCTTAAACCACCTTTTTGAGGCTTGAGACTAATTCCACTCCCTGCCCATCTGCTTTGGGCTTTGTTTTAGGCTCATGTTTCAGATCTGCATGCAGTGCTTGCGTTACCCTGGTAACTAAATGTTGGTTCCTTGTTATAGGGGTTCAACATTACTTTCCAAAATCACATAAGGCTTGTGATGTCACAAGCCATGGATCTTTGTATAAAAGTTACTCGCCTTTCACATTTACCTGCTGTAGTATTGTTGTATATTGTGTGTGTGCGTGTGTGTGATGTCAGGCTGCCATGTAAAACTTTTTAAAATGATTAAAAAAAAAAAAAAAAAACAAAAAACAAACAACTTAAATGCAGACCATCCTTTTTTGCATGCTTAGAGGGTTAGAACATTCAATGTAACAAACTAAAGTTGCATGTTAAAATGTTTAGGTTTTTGTTTCGTTCTGTTTTTATTTTGTGTTCAGTTTTTTGTGAATTTGCTTATTGTGCTGTTTTAATGGTTGTTAGTAGGATTAAATGCACCGGTGAGACGAGCATAGTGCCAACAGAAGGTAATTTTCCAGTTGTATGTGTCATACAGCATTTGAAGGGACCATGTATTCTGTTAAAGAAAAAATAAAACCACAGTTGATTAGCAAAACACTACATTTTTCTTCTTTCTTTTGAGTGCCAAACCCTAAACTACATTGGAGTAAACTATGGGGAAAGCCCTTTTTATTGCAACAGATAGAAGCCTTCTTTAAGTGAATTAATTAAAATTGGAGGCTTTATCTTCAGATAGAACTAACTAGTTGCTTCAGGGAAAAGAATTATAGTAAAAACAGTTTCTGGTTCCTTGAAAATGCTGTGCTTTTTGTATTTTACATCATTAGTGCAATTTGGATGGTTCTTGGTATGTGTATAGTTCAAAGGTCTTCGTGTTCACATTTTAAAATTAGGTAATGACTTCATCTTTAGAGCTTGGTTTCATTATTTTTATTTTATTTTGAACAATGTAGACAGTTCCCTGTTCTCTGCATTTAGAAGTATAAACACTTTAAATCTGTTACTTAATTCTGTAAGTAATTTTTATAACTATGATGTAACTCTATCCTTAAAACATTTAAAATAAACCCTTTATGTGCAACTTATGACTGTAAACTTTGTTCTCATGAGCAAAATGTAGTGATGTGATTTCAGATTGTGAAGAAGCAGTTTCTTCCGTTTTGTAATTAAAAAATATTTATTATTTTAATGCTGAGCCATATATGCTGGTATAATACTTGCCCTATGAAGTAAGTTTGCTTGCAAAGCTAAATCTTTGTTCTTTTTTCCAAGTAAGCATAAATGCTGATAAGATGAAACTTGTCTAAAGTAAATCATGCTCCTTAAATTCTATTTTACCAAACACAGAAAAAACCCCTCCAGGGGATTATGCAAGTCTGTGAAGGAGTCTCTATTTCCAGAGCACACAAAATATTTCAGCAGCGGGGAACAGCAGAAGCATTTGGCAGTGTATAGGTGATGATTTGTCTGCTTTGAATTAAGAAAACTCAAAATTCAATTAAGCACATTTTAGTGCTGATAAAAAAGCAAACTTGATCCAAATTAGAATGACGAGCAGATAACATCACCATGCTGCAGATATTTTTGAGTCATGTAAGTTGTTACAATTAATGCATGAATACTTAATTATTTTATATTGTTAAGTTACTAAGCTAGACTTTCAACATTGAAGAGATTTTCTTTATTCCTACCTCTTTTCTGATAGTAAAAGGGTATGTCTTATATGGATACACCAAAATACATTTTTGGCACCAAGCTCATTAGATGTATACTGAAGATCTTGGAGCATGCCAGCATGCAGTTGGGATGAATACCCAAGCCTCTTCAGTTCCCTTAGTTCAATGTCCTGTTTACTGTATCCTGTTGCCTGAGAGACTGGTCCCAGTGAAGATTTGTATCATGTACATCTGCAGATTAGGGAGAGTCTAAGACTTTGCTTTAGCAAGAGTATCACAACCAAAAAGCAGATATTAATCCATGTGAGCTGGCTACGTTAAATTATAGTTAAAAATAGATACACCAACATTTTATGATTAATGTCTGAACCTGTTCTGTATTACAGCTGATAAATGAACCTCACTTTTGTAGCATCTCTTTCCTCTTCATTGAGGAAGGAGCCTTATAAAAACAAAGATATTTTTGTTCTCTATTACTACAGTAATGAAACTGCCCCTGAAAGCTGGCTAATTGGGAGCCCATTTACAAGCAGCACGAATGTCAGTGCTTTGAAGACAGTGATGTCCCACCGATTTAGGAGGGCGGCGGTAGGACTTCCACCTGGAGCTACAGCTTTAATACTACTGTACTCTGTTTTCACATCTATCAGGCTCCTCATGCGTATGAACAGGTTATGTTTTCAGGGAAAAAAAAAAAAAAAAAGCTTCTTTCTCTCTGCTCAGTGAGCTATTTATTTTGAAATTAATTATTTTTTAAATATTAATGCTGTAAGCAGTTCAGCCGCTGATGACTTCAGTGGACTGCATTGTTTTTCAGAAAGGATAAGCTTTAGTAAGGATATTTTGGAGGAGGTTGGGCTGCTGCAATTTAAGATCATTAAGGTCTAATAGAAGTAAGAATAGGTCAAAGAAATGACAGGTATGTTCTTTCATTCTCAAGCACTGGATAAAAGATTATCACTTTTTTGCGCACTTAGAAGTATTTTTTTCAATTTAGTTTCAGTAAGTCCCTACCTTGGCATGTTACATCCCTTAACTCTTTTCTAGTGTCAGTACCATAGCATTTTAATTCATTTTAGGATTGGCAGCCTGGAAAAGTTACCAGGCTACTAAGCATTATTTTCAGGCTCTCCTCCTATTTTAATAGTTTACAGCCCTGTGAATTCCTTGATTTCTCTTCCTAATTCAGATTGCAGAGCTGCATATGCACAATATGTATCTGTGTATGCACAACA